CGATCCGGACAATTAATTCATACGTACATCCCCGTGGGTGTAGTTAAGGACACCCTAACTCATTCTTAGGCAATGCGATGGAGTGTTATCCGGACTGTTACACGGACAATATTTTGACCGACAGTACCATAAGTAATACTATACATAAATTTGACGGATATTACGAAATAATATTTAGGAAACTGAAATTTTTTTATAAAAATGATCATGTTGAAGTATCAGAAAAATTTATTAATTGACTAATTCACAACTACAAAAACTATAAAACATCCAGTTTTTTTTATTTTTAGTGTTGGTTACAACTTCAGTAATTCATGCTACTCCGCATGGATTAAGTAAACGAGCTACCCAAGTTTATTCATGTACAGAAAACTCACCTCAAGACATATTCTTATCACCTGATCCTATGGTTTCTGACCAAGATGTTACTTTTAACATTTCCGGAATCGCAACAGATGACTTTGACCAAGCTAGTGTTGAAATTTATTTACACAACGACGATGGTTTTGAGCAGGACCACCAAGATGACTTCTGTAAACTCTATAAATCATGTCCTGTCAAAAAAGATACAGTTGACTCTGCCTATACCGAACCTGTATATACCGAACTTTGGATATACCGAACCAGAATCACCAGACCCGATTTTTCCTAATCAACAAATCCGATTATAACGCAAGCTCTGGTTATAACGAACTCTGGTTATAACGAACTCTGGTTATAATGAACTAAAATTCTCCAGCCTGTCAGTTCGGTATAGACAGAGTCAACTGTAGTGTCGAGTCAAAAGTCACGGGAAGCAGATGACAATTAACTCGGTTAAGAATTAGATAGTGCGTGGCTCACCTCTCGGTAGCAAACCTTATTACGTAACAGTGACCTTTAGTTAAGCTTTACTCGAGCTTACTCTAAACTAGCAAGCGTAGAGACGCTAATCCTCGATGTTAATTATTTTCGAGTCCAAATACACGATTCTCTACCACTGGATTAGGTCGGTAGTCTATCGGTCGGGGTCTGACTAGAAACTAACGCGCTATCCAACTATAAGTGACTGTGATATAATAACAACGTTTAACATGTCACAGAATCGAAGATTAATTATTCTAATTTAAATAGAGCGATCGTCGATTTGGTATGAAATAATTAACACTCGTATTTGCCACTCAGTTAACCGTTAGACAAGTATGCCGGAATAAAATTACGATCATAAACGATTATATGTTTCTTAATGAGAAATAAACGAAATAATATAATATAAGGAAAATTTTAACTTTAAAAAGAAAGAAGCCAAGTGTGTTGTGCTGGACTAATTTAGAAAATTGGAGGGCAAAAGCATTAAATAGTAAGCACAATTTTTACTTTTTATTTCAAGTTTTTTTCAAAGAGTAGTCAAATTAATACTACAAAAACTTTACGAACACACCGTTAAAACTCCTGACTAATTATTACAGTTTCTTGTTACATGGTAACGCCCTCATTAAGATTCTGTTGGACAAACAAAGTCCTAAAAATGCGATATCAATATGCAAACAATACTAAGTTTAAGAATTAACATCAACATTTAAAAAGTGCGCAGTTACTGTTTAATTGTAAACATGTTATACGGTGATATTTGTTGTATTGCAATAAACTGTTGCCTTTCACTGACTTCCGCTGGTGAATCAAAATCTTCCCCAAAAAAAAAGCATGTCTATCGTCAGTAAAAAATATCATGTTGACACCGTATGTCCCCAAGTGTCTGTTTATTAGATAATCTTATTACTACACTTTTTATTACGACGCGTAAGTACCCATAAGACAAAGCCTGCTTTCTCTCTTGGCGACAACCGTCATAATTTTTTTGTTATCCAGAGTTTGTAATAGTAAGGCGTTATTTTTCAACACAAAAAATAAGTTTTTTGTTGTAATGTCCAACCATAATCTATCAACTAATATTTTATATTCGGCTGTATTCCGTTATGATTGCCATATAACTCCAGGAATAGTTAGCGTTGAGTTTAATTTTAATGCATTTGCCAAAGCCACGATTCCCTTGTTTCCAATAGCGTTAAATGAAAAGATTCAAAAAGGTCAATGACATATTTGTTTCTAAAGCCTTTGATAGAGCAGTGGCGCCAATAGCTCCGATCACATTTTTGTCAAGTCTTAAATAGGTCAAGGAAAAATTAGATCGCAAAGCTTCAGACAATGCTATTGCTCCCATGTCTCCAATCATATTATCGTTCAAATGCAAGGAATGCAAAGTAAAATTGGAAACTAAAACTTTGAAAAAAGGTTACTTCTGAATCTTCGATCCCGTTTTACCAAGATCTAAAGACGTTAAAAACTTCATGTCTTTTACCAGAGTTGATATTACAGTTGCACACAGGGGATTATTTCTGAGACTTGAGGAGGTTAAAGATAAGCTTGATTCTAGGGCGCGCATTATTTTTCTCGTTCCACTTTTAATGCACCCGCGAATTTTAATGGTTTTTAAATTTTTCTGGCATTTGGATGAGTTTTGCCAACCCCTCATCATCTTCTTCATCGTTGCCTACAAGAGAAATTTTTAAGTGTTCAAGATTTAATAGAAGTTTGCTTGCATTACAAGCGAGTAGATTTGTATCCTATTCTTCTTCCAATAATGACAGTTGTATCAGCATCAAATACGGTTTTAATCTCAAAACTCGGAAATTACTTGTTGCAGCTTTATTCTACATGTAAATAGTTTTTCAAGCGAAGCTATTTGTCTATCACAACATATTAATATATATTCGCAGATGTTTTAAAATTGGTGAACACTCAAATTTATACCCAACAAAACAGCAAATTGGAAAGCTTTAGATTGAAAAAGATAACCGAATAGAGGCGGATTTGCGTCACGACAGCATTACACCAAAAGACATTCGTTTTGCGTTTCAAAACATCATGCACGTTGATTCATCGATTTCAAATCGAGTCGTCAATTTTTTATTTTGCATAATACTACATACATGTAACTCGATTTTCTCAGCAATCTTAAATTCTTTCTTTTGTATCTCTGGCACGGTTTATCATAAAAAAAAGAACAAATCAAAAAAAAAGCAAGCTGATGAGATTCTTCGGATAACAGATTTTTCGACTTAACGAGAAACAATTATTTATAACCATAAACTGTTGAATGTCAATTCCTGCTTATGTTGATTTTTAATCTTTATTTCTTCTTTCTGAGCCAGTTTGTGACGCAATGTGTGAGCTAATTTATTTATTTTTCGAATTTAAAGAGCTGCTGTGATGAATCTCTAAAACGTACAGTACATGAAGTATTCAATCCCACAACAATGAGAGATAAGGAGGCACGTCCTGTTAATCGCTAATACAAAACATTTAACATTACTTAAAGTTATCATTCCTCGCTGTAGTTTATTATCAGAGAAATGATCAAAGATAAAGGTAACGCATCAATCCTTACCGAATTTTGTTCTTGTACCTTTACTGTATAATCATAATTATGTACTTGAGAATAAGAGATAATTTTTTACCCGTACAATACTATGAGATGGAAAACCATTTATATAACTATCGATCAAAATTATCCCGCGACTGCGTATTGCCATGCAACAACACAGTAAGTCTGGTTCAACAAAGTGCTCCGTTTCATCGCCTGACTTTTTTAATGCGGGCTATTCGTTAAAGCGAATTCTCTTTCTACAATATTGTGATCCAAAACGAACAAGATTTGTAATAGTAATAGAGCCTGTTAAACCAAATCATGAGATATCTATGTCTGTCAGAACAGTGACAGGTAACAACAAACAATATGATCGTAATTGTAATGTAACTAGTTATGCTCGATTCATATATAATTCATTAGCAAGTAACATGCTATTAGAAATTAGAGACATGTGGTCGGTTCCAATAAATGGTAATCTTTTACTCAAATAAGCATCAATTAATTAATAATTTCATATATTGTAACATGTACTACCGGATTTTTAATAAGACATCAATCAAGAAATAATTTTGAAACATTAATCGCTTACCCTTTTCTTTTTTAACTTGAAACATGATGTCTATTGTATTCTATTTGCCCGCTATAAGCACACAAATAATAAATTACACCATTTTGTGTTAAACGATATCATTTAGCACGTATTTGTGTCCTCTCAGATGTTTTCCATACGATAATCTGATATATCACGTGATTAAAAATGTTTACCAAAAATTTGGAGCGAATGTCATCGGTTTTCGATGCAATGATCAGGTCAGCAGCAAGTAGCAAATAGCAAATGGGCCACATATTAGATGGATAATAGCATTACTAACTGTGACCTGTTAGTCGAGCAACATGATTAATCTCGACAGTGTTTTATTAGTTATGTTTAACCCACAGCCCTCCGACTCGCTTCCAGAGAGAGATTAGAGGCCAATGTAACCATCGCAAACGGGCTTTAGAGATTATAGAGAATGATTGTGTTGAAGCGATCAAACATTGCGTTAACACGTGTATACATAGAGAAGTAATGTGATCCTACAGTTCTCTCTTCTGACTTGTATTGCAATTATGCATGGTAACATTCTACATGCATTAATCATTTATCGCTTTTCACATGGTATATATGATACTTATTAACTGCCGAATTAATGTAACCAGACACTTTTTATTCATTTTCACAGCGGAAAAGACAAAAAATATGACAAAAGCTTTGAAGACAAAAATGGGTATCACTTGGCTGTTCAACCTCCAGTGATTGATTAATATTTTTCATGCTCTCTCTCGGGCATCGTAATCAAGGTAATAATTAGAAAGAAATTATATCTAAAAATTAAGTTAAAAATATTATGCTATATACCACCTCCAATTACATCACACATAAATTAGATTCTATTTATTATATGTACATAATTTACGTTGATTCCAAAAAGTTCATTCTATATATGTAAGATTGTCTTTGATGCAAAATGTCTACCCCCAGTTGTGTTAGAAAATTATTGTATGTAAAAGGTGATCTGATGATTTCACACCGGGGGGGAGGGGGTAGAGATTATATGGATTCATTTTTACTATCGAAGTTATCTTTGTCGATATCGACATCACTTTTAAGATTGTCATTGTCATTGTCACCAAGAGTATCATTATCGCAACTAAAACGAATCTCTTCATTTTTTTCTTCGATTACAGGCGGCATTTTTGAAGACGCGATCAATGTACTGAACGAGTCGAACGATTTTCCTGACAATCGTTCCGTCTGCATCAACGGTATTGGCGAGCCTGTCCTCCTGATGCCAGAGGGAGGCATAGTCGGTGATGGCCTGGTTATACCGTAATCACTCTGTGTTGGTGTTATTAGTGGTGTAGGCGATAGAGTCATTCTATCTGTAGCCGTCTCGACCAGCTCTGTGAACACAGACGTGGTAGTTGTACTCGGTGTCGTGATGCGACCGACTTTGCTCACGAGATACTCTTCGAACGATGCATCAAAGTCATCTTTGGGTGGTGAGATATCGGTTTTTACTTTCAATGTGTATTTAGATTTTTTGCTATGGTCGCAGGGAGATTCGACTTTGACACAGTAGGGTGGTGTTTCTGACAATTTTGTTCGCGTAGATTTTGTTCGTAGTGATTGTCGATATACTAGTTTCTTTTCGTCTCTGACCGAAATTCCACGAGTGCGGGATGGTGGTGGTTTCTTTAGTCCAATTTCGGCCAGTTTGCTCCATCGCACACAGCAACACAAGAAGACTAGGATTACAAAACCAACAACAATCAAGACTATTGGTAGTATCCACGGCTTAAATGTGCCTATGGCAATATCAACAGGGTCAGTTTGAGCAGCGGTAGTTGTTGCGGTGGCGAGGACGGATGCGAGTGTTGGTGCTATGCTAGGTGAATGTGTTGATGAAGATGTGTCAACTGCGTCTCTGCGTACGAGTAAAGGCAGGGAGGAATCGATTTCTGGTTGGAATATAGCATCATTCGAGATGATTGGGGCCATGGACCTTGGAGAAAGAAGGATTGATTTATTTTTTCTTATCGCGAATATGTTTGTATGCTATGGATACTTTATTCGGATTTAAGTTGACACAACGATGGAGCGACGAAGAGAAGCAAGTGAGATGGGGGGAACCAACGCTGTGGTTATAGCACAAGAGAATTAAAAGAATGTCTATTAAGTGGGTAAGCTTAGCAAAGTATAGAGAGCATGAAGGATGCAATGGGGGAAAATGCTCGACGATTGTCATAAAATAATAATAACGCATTTATGCATTAACCAAAACCGCGTAATAAGGCCTCGTTATTTATACGGTTAGATAAATTAATTGTATTAGTCAGTTATATTACTTTATCACCTGAATGGGTAGTTAGAAAGTACTTGTGACTGCTATATTTGGAATAATTTGTTGATCATATGCGGAAAGCCCTGATTATCGTAATGTAAAGACGTCGATCAGTTGGATAAGCAGGCCATGTTAGTGGCACTAGCTAAATTCTAGAGCTTGCGTTCTAATAATTCTGACTATTTGTGATGACAACTGTTGGTCCACATAACTCCGGCCGATGATCAAGTGGTGTAACGATATAATAACTTTATTAAAAGCAGATTGATTTCGGGGATTGTTTATTACAAATCACGGGTTATCGAGTGACACAACAGCTAGATTGTGTTTCAGATATTGTTGATGGAAATAATTCGACCGAGTTAATATTAAATAAACTCAGCCTTTTCAAACAATAAACGTTTATATACTTTTGAGTTTTAACTTTTTCCTACAAATGTAAAGTGTCCGTTTTTCTTTTTTACTATTAAGCTTTTGCTTCTGTCCACACACACGCATTACCTTCACCCAACCGACGTCGAACCCCTTTTTCCGTCGAGTCTTTGCCTTTTGAGATACGCCGTTCCGTTCATGTTGCCATTTGCGATTGTTTGCGATTGCGTTACCAGATGCTTGTTGCCAAAATAATGTGACGGTTAACATTAAAAAAGCTTATAAAAACAAATAACATGCGACCCCCACTTGCCTTTCCCCCCAACTTCCAGTCATACATAATTAAATACAGAGACTTTTACTCACGATTATTATTAAAAAACGAGGCTGGTAACCTTATGTCGTCATACAGAAAATACAGTATCATCTATTGGCGTAGGTGTCCACAAACTGTTGTTATGCAGGAGAAGCTGTCGATTGTAATGTGGCGGAGAGAATAGCAATCGTTGACATCGATCCATTGGGGATAGTATTCCCATGTGCTTGACTGCAAGTGGAGAGAGTATTGACTCTTGTATGCTTCCAGGAGGAGAAAATATGTATATTGTTGACATGTCATCGTCTTCGTCATTGCGATCGTTGGCTAAAAAGTTGACGTATGATGCTACAGAATATGGTGTCGGTGGGCTAAAGAGAGAGAGCGAGAGCGAGAGAGAGAAAGAGAAGGAATAATAAGTGATATAAGATAGACATTCTCGCCAATTTTTACTACCATGATTATATATGCCGCATTGTACATACCAGAAAAATGGTCGCGGAGTAGCCGTTGGCGTTACATAGTTGGTGAGAGAGTTGAGTGTTCCATAGTTTTTGTCAACTTGTATTTGTAAGGTGGACTTTTTCTTCGTCTCTCCAAAGAGCAATAAATATAATTTTTTGAAAAGTTCTAGTATTTGGTTAAGCATTTTTATCTATTTTCTGTGATAACCGTTTTGATATAATCAGTCTAATGTCCTTTTCTATTTTTGAGGTGGAAAATGTTTATATGGAGTTTTGGAGTTTAAGAGTTTATGAAGTTTTTGGTTTATATTTTTCGTGCTTGCTAGAGAAAATAAAATGAAAGAGAAGAAAACGAAGGATTGCCCAAACGATTCGATATATACTTTTTTTAAACAATTGAAAGATTTCTTTTTTTACAAACAATTCATATTCTCACCGTGCTACAAAATTTCAATACATAGTTCAACCCATCACCAGGAACGATTATATCACATATCTTTCTCTAAACTTTTCCACCATTCACACGAAATTGGTACGCCAAACGTCATATCACATGTACATTATCGATTAGAAATGATACAATGCTTATAAAGAATCCCGTATTCAATGCATTTCAGGAGAGACAAGAACGGCCGATTTCCATATTGTTCAACGGTCTAACCTTATTGTAATCGTTTATTATTACTATTCGGGGTAAGGATAGCGTACAAACATGTCTTGTTACAATTTAATACCTGATTAGAGTGATTAGAATAAGCCAAAACCAAACCACATTCAGAACAAGGGTCAGCCCTTTTTTTTCTTGCCTTTCTCATCCCACCTCTCTCCCAAACCATGTTACACTCACGATCTGCAACATCTTCTCGACTCGGCATTTTCCTTCCAAACACTGCCATCGCTGTACATCTCCTTTTTCCATATGGGAACAGTGGCTTTCAACTCGTTCACCAGAAACTCGACAGCACGAAACGATTCCTCTCTGTGAACAGTCGAGACTGCAACTATGACACTCGTTTCGCCAACTGGTACAGTGCCAAGTCGGTGATAAATGGCTGCTTTCGTAATCGACCATTTCGAGCGGGCGGTTACAATGAGAGAAGAAAGCTGTTTGACAGCCATTGGCGTATATGCTTCGTAATCCAACTGAATCACAGTTTTGCCTTTATTTTTAGGAGATGCAATGTGCAACGTAAATGAAAGGAGTACAGTAGAAATGAGATGTGTGCATAAAGTGGCATAATGTACGATTTCGTCAATGGTCATGCAAGGGCTTTCATTACGAGTATTCACAAACGTCGTTGAAAAATGTTAAAAGGCTGTTTGTACTACCATCGAATGTATTCCTTGTTGTCCCCGAAAACGTGGAAATTGCGCCCGCGCCATTGTCCTTAACTAAGTCCACTATTTCTTGAAGATCAAGTGGGTCGGTTGTCAGATTAACGAAATCAACAGGTGAGTCTGTCATGATGAACCTCTTTGTGTACACTTTTTTTTTTTTGGCACTTTATTTCACAAAACTTCACGTGATGTTAAGTGGCTGTACAAATAAGAATAGTCGAATTGAAAAAGGAAAATACATTTCTCTCGTTGTCTCTCATTGATACGACCCTGTATGTTGCAAAAGAATAATCCTTTGAGCATTTTACAACGAAACGATTGAACGTATTGATCCGTATATAGGATGAATGCTCGGGTTGAAACATGGTATAACAATCAATACTAATACCTGCTGTAATCACTCGGTTAAAAATCCACTGTACAAATAGAGATTCTGTTTTCCCAAACAAGGATGAAACAGTGTTACATGACGTTCTATTGTTCGAGAGGCTGAGTTTTATTTGTGCAAGGGGTTCAATGCAATGTGTAAATACCGCGGAGAGATTGCAACCTGTCAATAATGACCAATTAAATGACAGACTGCCGATACAAACGCCAAGAGCGATAAGAGAACGATATGATTTCAAGAATTGTTAAAGGATGTTCGACAAACGGTTTAGATGATAAAGAGAGCATTGATATTAATATGTGTGTAATCATGTATGTTTGCATTGTCGGCATTATGACAAAAAAGAGAGATTCGTAATTTCTAATTGCTTGCGTTGTCTTGTTATTGTGATATTAGTAGAACATACCGTACAATGAAAGAAAAAGACGTTATAATATTATCTTAGTCAATTACAACTAAAATTGGTCATCGAAGTTCCAAAAGTACCAAGTGTCATTATGCCAGTTTTTGGCCTTGCGCTGTAATATTTATATGTTTCGACGAATTAACTTTTTGAAACAAATTGTATTTGAAACTTGCAAGTCACTTAACAAAGAAGAGACTGTCACAGTTCCACACACACGTTTATCTACAAACAACGATGCAACCACAGAGACAATTCCGAAATACAGACTGTAGGATAATGAAACTCAGAAACACAGCCGTAACATTCATAGTTGCCCATTAATAATAGTGGTAATGAGAATACGTGAACACCAGAAATAAGTCGGGTTTTTTATTGGACTTGGAATCGAGACTACAATCGTATATTGGCATGCAATAAACAAGGCCGGATATTCACTGTCCGAGACTGGGCTTTTGTGTGGCTGCGTCTCAAGAACGAAAGTGTAGCGAGGTACACCAGAGCATAGAATCCGGAGAATAAGGTATCAGTAAAGCTCTTAATCGCTCCATCGAACCACCCACCATCTTAATGATAGAAAAAAATTTCTTCATGTATATTCTAGAACTTCAGAGACAGTCGCCGGAGCTGTGAAATACCAAATAGAAAATGTGCGAGCACAAGACTATTATTACCACAAAAATGCTCGTGAAGTTATAATCTATTATAACTATCTTCGTACATACGTGCAAGAAATTCAATCGAGATATGGCCTTACTTATATCATCCTGTCAGTTAATTATTCCGCGGTTTATTTTATGAATCTATTCATACAAACCGTATTTCAACAAGCTCATCACAATTTTCATGAGCCTTTAACCCTATCTTTCCACGTTTTTGGTAAAGACCAGCATATTTAGCTGAAAATCATAAACTTTCACTACGCCTTCAAGAGTTAGTATTACATAATAATATAATATTCTTAATAAAGCAAAACTTACAATATGACTGACCCATACAATCTTGATTTATCGTCAACGAAGGTACATAACTCGGCAATTACCAGGTCAAATTAGGCCAACCTTTTTTCAGCTGTCGATTAAACCTCGGGCAACCATAGTTTTTGTTTTTTAATATATTGGGCAGTTGTTGAGATAATTGTTCACGATCAGAACTTTTCAGCCACCCCACGTAGATAATTATTACTGTAGATATCGTTTCATAATTTTATTTTATTCAAATTCTGACAATACATATTCAGGAATACAACGGTGAGACTTGTTATTATACTTTCGGGCAGCATATTCTGCCAACTTACCAGTGATTTCCTTCCTATACAAATTCATGCAATTTTCTTATTGTAATCATATCAACAGATTCCAAAGCTGCAGGAACGA